TATTAATTTTTAAACGTTATTTAAATTAATAAATAGTTACGTTAAAAGACAACAGATAGCAATATATTCAAATATCTCTATATAAAACTTTTTGAAGGTTACCTTTACATATTTTTCGTTTGGATTTAAAACTTTTGAGTAGTTTTTTTTTTTTTTCTTGGAATAGTAGTTTAATTACAATTTTTCTTTTATTACATGTTTAATGAAAATGAATGAAAAAGGACTCTATGCTGCCATCTATTATCATATTTTGATATTATAATTAATAACCAGTTACACTAAATAGTTTGTTTTTAGGATAAGAGATGGCAGTAAATGCTAACAAATATTATTACAGTTATATATTTACTCAATAGATGGCACTAAAGGCGGAGACGATTTCACATAATAGTTAGTTTTTAGGATAAGAGATGGCAGTAAATGCTAACCCACGATATTACAGTTAGATATTTGCTCAATAGATGGCTAAGACGATTTCATAAAATAGTTTATGTTTTGGATAATAGATGGCAATAAAATCATAGCTAAAATATTTTTATTGTAGTTGTTTGGAAGCGATATAATTATATAATAATCACTATCTTAATGATTTTTAACGATATTTTCATTTATTACAAATACTTAGAATAAATAATAATACTCAGCAGTCATTATAATTGGTGATTATTTCATTTTTTCCTGTAATATAGCAAAGTAATTGTAAATATTTATTTCAATACGCTGTCATTGGAATATCGGCGTTTATTCGGAATTATTTTGTATTTAAGTTTCAGTGTGTACCAACTATCGCCATCTATTATAGTTGAAATTAAATTTATATTGGTATTACATTCCAAGGAATTAGTAAGCATTTCAGTGAAAATAATTATCCCAATTTTACGATCTGTACGTTTATATATATACGGTTTTGTAACTCTGTAGTACTTGTACGGAAAACTTATTTCCTTGTGAAATTTCGTATAGAATAATTTGTTTGTTGGTTATGAAATGTAAAACTTGGACTGTGCTTTACCTCTCGCTGATAACGATTTCCAGCGTTATAATATAAGCACTGGAAATTGAAGCGTAATTTTCGGAACTTGAATTACGTTATGGTGGTATCATTGTCAAAAAATTGTTTGTTTAATTATTATAATTTGATTTATTTGGTTGTCGACCATGAAAGTTTTTTAACATTAGTTAGGCTATTAGGCATATACTGTTTATATATTAAAATGTAGGCCTACTCTAGACTTGTGTTCATAATTACTAGTGGTAATACTAATACAACTATAATACTAGTAGTAGTAACAGTTACTATTAGTATTAGCAATTATTACTAATTCAGATTAGCGTTAATTAATAAAGTTTACATTCTGAATTAATACTACACATTGTCCCTCTCAGAATATTATTAAATTAGTCTTATATTTATAAGTATTGACTATTATAAAATGTTAAAATAGTCGAATCATGGAGGAGACAGGTTTATACTTCTAAGTTCTAGAAACTGTTCAGGATGGTTTTCTACAACAATTAGTTAGGGATCCTACTACTACAAGTACTGAGAACAATGATATTTTAGACTTATTGTTAACTTCAAATAAAAAAGTGGTTGATAGGGTGGAGATTGGAGAACATCTGGGTGGAAGTGATCATTGCTGAATTAGACTTGCTGTTTATGGAGATAAGGAATAATGAGATTTTGGTTCCAAATTTCAAAAGAGCAGATTTTAAAGATATGAGATAGGAATTACCTTCTATGAAATGGGGAACTGAATTAATTGGAGATACTGGAAAAAATATGGAAAATTTTAAAGTTATGAAATACTCAAAATATGCATGTTGTTTATAGGTAAGAAATTGTGGCTGTAAGTTAAAACTAAGGTTGTCTCGCAAGTGTATAAAGAACAAAATTAAAAAATTATTATAAATATTTGAAGTTTAAATTGGCTGCAATAATGGGAGATTTTAGAGGATTGTATAAAATCAAGAGAGTTAGTCAAATGGGAAATCAAAGGTATATAAAAACAATGTTGGCTGAAAGTATCAAAATTAATAATAATAAGAATTTCTTCAAATACATTAAGGATAAGCAGGATGTTAGGATGGGAGTAGGACCTTCAACGGATGGCTAATATCTGATGATTATGGGATGGTTGGGTTATTAAATGTTGCTTTTTCTTCAGTTGTCACTAATGAAGATTTCAGCAATATCCCTCATCCTCGACAGTTGAAGATGGACTGAAACAAGACTCAAAAAGATGATCACATTAATTCTGAGCTTGTTAAAAAACTT